GTATATCTGAACTAAAAAGTTCAGGATTGTTTTGCACCAATAGATTAAAGCAATGACGCATTTGCCTCAATTCTTGCATTTCTTCTCTCATTTCTTGCATTTCTGCTTTCAAAGTAGAGACTTCATTGTTATGCTTTTGTTGGATCTTATTGATTTCCTCATCTTTTTTAGAAAACTTGTTGTCACTGATCTTCCATAGCATCGTATTCGACCAGGCTGCTCCTTTCCAAACACTGCTCTAAATGCTTCATCCGATGTTTTTCCAGAGTTTTGACGGTTCTGAAGTTCAGACTGCCAAAAAAAATTATGAGAACCATATAAATAATCTAAGCCCCAGAAAATATATTAGTTGCAACATGGCTTACTATTGCAATTTGAGCATCTTCATGAACTTGCTTCCCTTGTTTTGTACGAGTTGCAATAAATATTTCAGACTTAGATGGTTCCTCGTTGTTCTCTTTACTTGCACGCTACAAATTACAGCAGAGAAATAAATAACAAACATAAATGTATTCAAAAAAAGTATGTAAAGAAATAAAAGCCATATTTTTCACAAAGTATCGAATAAATACCAATGCCACGCGTACTCTTGCAAAATTAATAGGTCACATCCGATGCCTCCACTTTTGTTTTTTTCTATTTTCAAAATTTAATTTGCACATGGCCTAGCACCAAAAGAAGTTTACCAATTATTAAATTAAAAAGGGAAAAAAATATAATGCAACAATATGTTCAAGAGTAGAAATGCACAGTTTAATCTCACTTGAACATTTGAATTCCTCCAATACTTAATCCATTGGAGGAATTAAACTTCTGGTATCTCAGCGGGACGTTGTTTTAGCATATCTTCAATAGTATGATACCCATCAAAATGATTCTTCTTAATATTTCTCTTGTGTCGCCTCCAAGCATCGCGAAGACCATCCATCACCCATTTCTTTCCTTCTGCTGGAATGATGAACTTGGTCTATGCAAAATAACATATATGTTATCTTCGTTTAGTAAGAAATACAATAAGATACACAATTGAAAATTGATCGTTCTTACATTGACATATTCCCACATTCGTTATTTAATATAATCAGTGACAGCATGCCAGCTAGTGAACAACAAGGTGATAAATCTGGAATTCCTGGCAATTGTTCCTATAAAATTGCTTAACTCAGATACTCTTTTGCCGGTTGGTCCAACAGCTTGTCCTTTATCAAATGTCACTTCCTGTCTTTCCTCAAAGTTTCTTGCATGAATCATCTTACATTTTGTTTGACCTCGAACTTTCTTCTTATCTGATGTCCCTAATGTAAAAACCAAGACATAAGGAAAAGAATACAATAAACACACAAAATTACTAGGTTACCTGTAGCAGAATCAACGTCCATAGCTTCGTCTCTAACACACTCATCCTCGCCAACTTCTTCTTGTGCAGCAAAATCATCCAATTCTATATTATGCTCATCAACTAGAGGGGAGGGCATAGATCTGAAACCATCTACTTGTTGATTATCAGGTTGTTTTTCTCCACCCACATATATTCCATTTTTTTCTAGAAAATGATCAACACTCGTTGCCGATAAGACCGGCTTCCTCTTCACTTTTTTGCAAATTTCTCCTTCTCCTTGTCTTCTTCCAATCATATGTGAAGTGTTAAGAGCTTCCTTCGAAGACAACTGGATTATGGATTTATGCATAGGTAATTTGCCATTTCCTTGTTGTTGAAAGGACTTCTCAGGTTGAATTAACCTTTGTCTACTTTGTCCTTCTCTTGCATTAGATATTGTAGGCATAAGATTCTTCCGTTTATGAGTTACTGGTGCTTGCTCTTTCACAACTCTATGCTCCTTATCATGAGCTAGTTTTTCTTTCTTAATCTGATATTGCTTAGCCAATTCAGCACTTGATCGAAACTGAAAATCAAAACATATCTTCTTCATAGGACTTTGAGCTTTGTTTGGATTCAAACCCTTTTTCTTTGCTCCTGCTTTCATTCTTCATAAAGAGGAAAAAAAAATTAATTAGAAAATATCGAAATGCGGAATGCAGAAAGCAAAAAATGCCAAAACAATGTGTAGAAATGCATAAAATACAGAAACGTTATGCAAAAATGCAAAAACACTGTGAAGAAATGCAGAACCGTTTGTGCAAAAATGCAAAAACTGTAAAAATACAGCACAAAAAATGCAGAAATAATGTCGAGAAAATGCTGAAACGTTGTGCAGAAATGCAGAAATTTGCGGAACGCCACGCGAAAATGCAGAACAATGTGCAGAAATCCTAAAATAATGTGCAGAAATGTAGAAAATGCAAAAAATGCAGAAACAGTATGCAGAAATGCAGAAATTGCCGAAATATTGTGCAAAAATGCTGAAACGTTGTGCAGAAAATGCAGAAACAATGTGCAGAATCCAAAAATAGTGTGCAAAAATCCAGAAAACGCAGAAAAACTATGCAGAAACGCAAAATTTGGCGAAATGATGTGCAAAATTGCTGAAATGCTGTGCAGAAATGCAGAAAATGCTGTAACACTGTGCAGAGTCACAGAAATACTCTGCAGACATGCTGAAACACTGTGCAAAAATCAAGAAAATGCAGAAACTCTGTGCAGAATCCAAAAATTGTGTGCAGAAATGCAGAAAACGCATAAAAACTGTGCAGAAACGCAGAAATTACCGAAATGATGTGCAGAATTGCTGAAACGCTGTGCAGAAATGCAGAAAATGCAGAAACACTGTGCAGATTCGCAGAAATAATATGCAGAAATGCTGAAATACTGTGCAAAAATGCAGAAAATGCAGAAATATGGTGCAGAAATGCAGAAACACTGTGCAAAAATGCAGAAATTGCCGAAATGATATGCAGAAATGCAGAAAATGCAGAAACACTGTGCAGAATCGCAGAAATACTATGCAAAAATGCTGAAACGCTGTGCAAAAAATGCAGAAACATTGTGCAGAATCGCAGAAACTTTGTGCATAAATGCTGAAACTAATGAATTTAGAAAATATAAAGTAAATCGAGCAGAGAATGTAAGAAGCGAATAAATGAATAATAGAAATAGATGAAATAGACAAGAAAGCATCGACAAGCAAATGTCATCAGTTTAACATCTAAAGCATGAGTTTTTAATGTCTCTCTAGTTGTAAATCAAACAATAACTGAACTATTTTTCTAGATGAACATATTACAAGCATTTAACTTCTAAATTAGAATCAATTTCATGATGTATCCTCAACATCAAACTCATCTTCCGATTCAATTTCAGCTTCTTGAGCACGACATCCTTCTGGAGGCACATCAATTATGGTTGCAGGAACGTCACTCCTTACTAAGACAACTTCACCATCATCATTCGATATAGATGGGCTCATCGGATTTTCATACAGCTCATTTTCATAACAGTAGGGAACATCAGATTCATATTGGTCACTTATGTTAGACAAGTCTCTCGGGACAGTATTCATAACATAATGTTTGTCTTGATCATATAGATCTTGTACATAGAAGCATTGGTGTGCTTGTGATGCTAGCACGAAGGGCTCTTCTTGATAGCATTTCTTGTTGAAGTAGACATAAGTAAGACCATAAGTATCTTCTTCAGCCTCATACCAGTCACACTTACACAATACAACCTTAAAATGTCCAAAATAATCTAACTCAACGATATTAATTATTCTAGCATAATAAGTCAAATTTGCATCAACCGGATTTTTATCCTTGGAGCTTGCAAAACTTTTAGTTAATGCAACTAATGTAACACCACTATTTTGTGTTGTACGCCTTGCATCACGCTGCCACGTATGGAATCTATATCCATTAATGAGATACCCAGAATATCTTTTAGCAATTGAATTTGGTCCTCTAGATAATTGTTTCATAAAATCAGGTACATCCTCATGCAAAATACGACTTTCGAACCATTGGGAGAAGTTTTGACTATGACTCTTGTCCTTGCTCTATTTAGATCTTCGCTCATGACTATTAACTTAAAGCTTATGCTCTCTACACGGCAAGTATTATTTTTTGTTAGCAAAAATTATATAAAATAATTTTAAAATTATCCATATAAAAGAAAATACTACAAATGAGTTAAATTACCTAATATATTCTTGAATTTTATCACAATTGTTAAATATATATCTATGTGCTTGACTTAGTGACTTGTCGTCTAGATCATCTGGGACACCCTTTTTTCCTCCTAAAGGACAGCCTTTGTTGGGGAACAAACTACAAGTTTGCTCATCTGCTGAACCACAATCATCATTGTTTCGCGGTCTTCTATTAAATCTGGTATGTACAACCCCATATAAGTATCTAGAGCATAAATTTAGACATTCTTCAACCAAGTATGCCTCAGCAATAGATCCTTCAGGATGATTTTTGTTGCGAACATATGACTTGTACCTACACATAAATCTTTCGGGAGGATACATCCAGCGACATTGAACTGGACCTCCAAATCTTACCTCGTTCGGCAAATGAATAGGCAAATGAACCATTATATCAAAAAAACAAGGAGGAAAAATTTGCTCCAATTGATTTTCTGTTTCTCGAATCTCTGCCTCCAAACAATCTAGATCTTCCAATGTGATAACTTTTTGACAAGGAACTTAGACGAATCAAAGGAATAGCAACATGATCAGGAAGTATGCTTTTAATTGGTATTGGCAACAAATAATGCAACAAGAAATGTGCATCATGGGTCTTACAATTAGATATTTTTCTTTCAGCTGGATGCACACATCGAGAAATGTTGGAAGCACTACTATCGGGTAGCTTTGCATTCTTCAGAACACCACAAAATGTGGATCTTTCGCCCTTAGTCATAAAGAAGCACGCTTGTGCAAGCTTTATTTTCTTGCCATCCTTTGTTTCTTTTGGTTGAAGATTCTTCCTGATTCCCATCTCTTTGAGGTCATAACGAGCACTTTCATGATCCTTCGTCTTGCCCGAAATTTCTAGAAGTGTTCCAATTGTGCTGTCAACTATGTTCTTCTCAATATGCATTACATCAAGTTTGTGGTGAAGCAAATTATGTTGCCAATAAGGTAATTCAAAAAAAATTGACCTTTTTTCCATGGGCCGGAATTTGCTTTCTTTTGCGTCTTCCCAAATACATTTTCAACATTTTGTAACATATTGAACACATCTGTTCCCTTTAACAATTCTGGAGGAGGCCTAAATTCTGTTTTTCCATTGAAAGACCTTTTGTTGGATCTCCAAGGATGATCCATAGGCAGAAAAACACGATGATCCATATAACACATTTTCCGACTATGTTTTAGATAGCAAGAATTAGTGCCATAATTACAACATGGACAAGCCAACTTTCCTTTTGTACTCCACCCAGATAACATAGCATAGGCAGGAAAGTCATTAATTGTCCACATAAGAGCTGCTCGCATTAGAAAGGTTTGATTTCTTGAAGCATCATATGTGTCAACTCCTAACTCCCATAATACCTTCAACTCTTCTATTAGTGTTTGCAAATAAATGTCAATATCATTTTCAGGAGATCTCGGCCCAGATATAAGCAACGAAAGCATGCAATATTCTTGTTTCATGCACATCTAAGGAGGTAAATTATAAACCATTAAGACAACTGGCCATGTGCTATGAGATATGCTCATGGTCCGAAATGGATTGAATCCATCACTTGCCAGGCTAAGTCTAAGATTGCGAGAATCTTTTGCAAAATCTGGATGAAGGCTATCAAAGTCTTTCCATGCTTGGCCATCGGCAGGATGCCTTAACTTTCCATCTTTAGACCGCTCCTCGTCATGCCACCTCAATTTATCTTCCATATTTGAGCACATAAATAGCCGTTTGATTCTAGGAATTAATGGAAAGTGTCTCAAAGTTTTAGCAGCAACACGATGAGCTTTTTTGGAAGGCTCAAGCTCGCTATCTGCTTCAGGATATTCAATGTATCGAGAAGCTCGACAAACAAGGCAATATTCATCACTTTTATGATCATTCCAAAATAACATGCAGTCATTGGGACATGCATCAATTTTCTTATAATCAAGACCTAGATTCTTTACAAAAGACTTGGCATTGTTGCAGGATAAAGGAATGTTCAACTCGGGCATCGCCTCTTTCAATAACTCTAAGAGGGAAGTAAAGGACTCATTGCTCCATCCATGTAGACACTTCAACAAATATAGACGGATCGTGAATGATAATTTAGAGAATCCTTTACAACCAGGATATAATTCTTGACTTACCTCGTCAACTAAGTTATAGAATTTTTTGGCATCTTCATTTTGGCATTCATCAACTCCTTGTGCAACATATCTAAATTGATCATTCAACAACCCATCAATGTCATCATATGAATCATCTTCATCCATATCATCATCAACATCCATTGGAATTTCCCATTCCCCATGATTAATCCATCTTGTATAACCTTTAACAAAACCGTAGCATATTAAAAGATCATAAACTATATTCCTTCGATACCAAGGGATGTTACAACACTTTGCACACGGGCATTGAATTTCTTCGCCCTGAGGATCTCCATCAGAATAAGCAAAGTCCAAAAAATGTTGAACACCATCAATATACTCTTTGCTATACCTTGGTAAATCCATCTAAGCCTTGGAAGGATCATTTGAATACCTAAAATCAATGGTGATATTGGATTGATTTATTTAGGTTTTAAATATACATGACAAATATACCCTAAAAATAACGAGTAATTTTTCAAAATCGGTTTTTCTATAGCTATGTTGCTCGGACTCTCCGAAAATATCGCCGGTGCGTGTCGGATTCTCCAAAAGTAATGTATTTTTGGAGAATCCGACACGGGTGCGACAGTATTTTGGAGAGTCCGCGCAACATAGTTCTATAGTAATAATCTAATAGCATAATGAAAACATAAAGAGAATAAGAATCTCTTACCTAGTCATGACACTTATCTTAGGTCAAACCCAACTTCAAGTTCACCACAGATAATCTAGCAGAGGCTTTAAAAATTATCAAAAGTTATAGATATAAAATTTATCAAGTAATTTACACTTGGAAATATAGTTCCATTATATCAAAAGCTATACTTTCATGCCTATGCTCAGAAACAATGTGCAGAATCCAAAAATAGTGTGCAGCAGAAAACGCAGAATTTGCCGAAATGATGTGCAGAAATGCTGAAACGCTGTGCAGAAATGCAGAAAATGCAGTAACACTGTGCAGAGTCGCAAAAATACTATGCAGACATGCTGAAACACTGTGCAAAAATCCAAAAAATGCAGAAACTCTGTGCAGAATCCAAAAATAGTGTGCAGAAAGGCTGAAACGCTGTGCAGAAATGCTGAAACGCTGTGCAGAAATGCAGAAAATGCAAAAACACTGTGCAGATTCGCAGAAATACTATGCAGAAACCCTGAAACACTGTGCAAAAATGCAGAAAATGCAGAAACACAGTGCAGAAATGCAGAAAATGCAGAAACACTGTGCAGAAACGCAAAAATTGCCGAAACGCTGTGCAAAAATGCAAAAAATGCAAAAATATTATGCAGAATCGCAGAAACTTTGTGCATAAATGCTGAAACAAATAAACTTAGAAAATATAAAATAAATCGAGAAGAGAGCATAAGAAGCGAACAAATGAATAATAGAAATAGTTGAAATAGATAAGAAACCATCGACAAGCAAATGTCATCAGTTTGACATCTAAAGCATGAGTTTTTAATGTCTCTTTAGTTTTTAATCAAACAATAACTGAACTATTTTTCTAGATGAACATATTATAAGCATTCAACTTCTAAATTAGAATCAAATTCATGATATATCCTCAACTTCACCACAGGTAATCTAGCAGAGGATTTAAAAATTATCAAAAGTTATACATATAAATTTATCAAGTAATTTACACATGGAAATATAGTTCCATTATATCAAAAGTTATAATTTCAACTCAGTTCTGTACAAATTTTGTGAATTGTGACCCCACCTTCCAAATGAACACTCAAAATAGCAGGAATTCTCTTAACTTAAACACAAATTTCACATGTAGGTGTCATATGTGGAAGGGTAAAAATTAGCTGAAGTAATACTTACTTTGTCAAGCACTAAATCACGTGGTAGAAATTATCTAAAATATGTTTTGAGCAGACCTGATCAACTCTTTCTCGGCAACTTCACAGCCAACTTTCAGTAGCATAAAAATAAATCTCACAATCTGCAATTTAAAAGAATATCGATAAGAACACAAAGATAAAGGCTGACCTGAGATTGTCAACATAATAATTTAGCAAAGTTGAAAAGATAATTGGACATATATGCTAAGATTCTCTACTCGGCTTCCATTTCACATACTAAAGCCCGATAAGAGAAGATAATATTACGAAGTATATAACTTTGCATATCTTTTTGACATAACATTATTCAAATGCAACCTATTAATCACCGGTGAAGCATTCACAATAGAATCTCTATGACCAACAAAATATCAAGCACGAGTTAAGAATCATGTTCTTTTTTTCATGAAGTAAAAAGAGTTCATTAAAAAGAGTCAAGAGGATGCAAATAAAATTACAATTGAGAAAAGAATATGCTTGCTCGTGGACAAAAGATAATCTAAGGCTCAGAACCTTTGTGTGTTTTATTATCCTGAAATTTTGATTTCTTAATGGTAAAAAGCTGATCAAACTGTCACGACTCAACCCCGGTCGAGATGGCGCCCAACACACTGCTAGGCAAGCCCCACCATTTAGACAACCTTAACCGATTAATCACAGTGGATAAATAAATTTTTTTACAACTAAAATATCAAGTTAAATGCGGAAATCCTAAAATAAATTCTAACATTCGGAAAGCCCAAAATATAAAATACTACTCAACCCATAGAATCTGATGTCACAAGTCTGAGCCTCTAATGCATGAGTATTAATCTACTACATATTGTTCTCTAGAAATGCGGAAACTAATAAATAAAATAGAAGGAAGATCAGGACTACGAACGTCAATTTGCAGCTACCTTGAATCTCCCGAATGTGATGCTAGGCAGACAAAGATCTCACTCAGCCTCAGTGGGTGCGCCTGAATCTGCACACAAGGTGCAGGGAGTAATGTGAGTACTTCCAACCCAGAAAGTAATAAACATAAATATAGTATGAGATTAAGAAATCCTAAATAGGCACAAAGTAAAGCTATAAATACAACAACATGAACCAATAGCATAATACAGTAAAACAGTGAAGACAATTATAATAATATCACAACAGATTAAGAATAAATGACAATTAAATATGCAATGCAACACATAAATCGGTACTCTCCAATACACGCTATGGCGTGCAGCTCGCTCCATTTATTTATCGTTGACGGCGCTCACTGGGGGTGTGCAGACTCCGGGAGGGGCCCCTTACGGCCCAAGCGCAATAATAAGCCATATCGTGGTATCAAACAGGCCCTCAACCTCATATTAATATCTATATCATACCGCTGCGGCGTGCAGCCCGATCCCATACTCAGTCCAAAATCACATAAGCCTCTCGGCACAATAGAATAAAAATATTCAGCCCAAACTTCATTAAAAAATATTAATTTAGTTTCTACTTTGAGAAAAATGGCTGAGTTTACAAAACAATATTAAATACCAGGACTGAGTTCAATATCTATAAGTATGGTAAGAAACCAGTAAAAATAATCCCTGAAGGATTCAAGTAGTTGGCATGAAGCCCAATTATGACAATTAATCCATTTTTATAAGGATATTACAAATCTACAATCAATTAGGTAGTAATTTTATTAAGCGGGACGGACCAAGTCACAATCCCCGAAGGTGCTCTACCCCACGCCCGTTATCCGGCGTGCAAGTCACCTCACATAGCACTACATTGTGCAAATTCGGGGTTTCGAACCCTCAACACAGCATTTATATTTATTACTAACCTCAAGCCGGCCAAAGTCCTAGCTTGCTATGCCTTTGCCTTTCGAATTAACCTCCTCGTGTACCGAATCTGATCAAAACCACAACGAATACATCACAATATGCTAATGGGACAATACCCAATCGAAAACAATCGAAAAATAGTGAAATTCCCGAAATTAGCAAAAACCCGAGCCCCGGACCCACTTCTCGAAAGTCAGAAAATTTACCATCAACGGATTTCTTATCTCGCCACGAGTCTATACATATAAAAAACACAAAAATCGGAGTCCAAATGACCCCTCAATTCCCATTTTTGCTCTCTTAGGTTTCAAGCCCTAAACCACTATTTTTGACCTTTAATTCCTTGAGTTTTCAGTCTAATTTTATGTGTTTGCACCATAAAAGCGTGTTTTAGGCTTAGAAATTCTTACCTTAATGAAGTCCCTTGATTTCTCTCCTCCAACTCGCCCAAATTCTCCAAGTCCGAAGTGAAAATATGAAACCCGTTCAAAAATTCGCGAAGGGAAATAAAACCATTTCTGACTAGTTCTTTCCGCATCTGCGGCTACTTAGCCGCATCTTCGACTTCCGCTTTTGCGGTTACGAGTCGCTTCTGCGGACAAAACCGCTTCAGCGATGACTAGACCGCTTCTGCGGTCCCGCATCTGCGATTCCTTTTACGCAGATGCGGTTTTTTCTTTAGCCTTCCAAAATTCCGCATCTGCGGTCCTATTGTCGCATTTGCGACTCAGCAGATGCGGTCGGCACCTCCGCGCCTGCAATGCCTGTCGCTTCTGCGGTTCCTGACTCGTTTCTGCGGTACCGCTTCTGCGGTCCCATTTCCGCAGAAGCGAAAATACCAGAAGCAGCACAGGTTCTGCAACCTCCTAAGTTCAAAACTTCCCGTTGGCCATCCGAAATCACCCCGAGGTCCCCGGGACCTCAACCAAAAGCACTAGCACCTCCTATAACATCATCCCGACTTGTTCCAATAATAAAAACACCTCAAACAACACTAAAACCATCATTTCTCATCGAATTCAAGCGTAAGTTCTTCCAAAACTTCCAAAACACGCATTCGATCAAAAACCTACTCAAATCACCCCCGAATGACCTAAAATTTTGCACACACATCCCAAATCACATAACGAAGCTACAGCAACTCTCGGAATTCCATTCCGACCCTCGGATCAAAATCTCACCTATCGACCGGAATTCGCCAAAATTCTAACTTTGCCAATTCAAGCCTAATTCTACTCCGGACCTCCAAAATCACTTCCGATCACACTCCTAAGTCACAAATCATCCCCCGAAGCTAACCGAATCATCGGATTTCATATCCGAGCCCTCTAACACGTAAGTCAACGTCCGGTTGACTTTTCCAAAACAAACCTTCCTTAAAGAGACTAAGTGTCTCATTTCCTTCTAGAACCACTCCAAATCAACTCGTTCACCCCCAACACTGATAATGAAGCATAAAGAAATAGAAAATAGGTAAAACGGGGCGGTAACTCACGTGACAACGGGTTGGGTCGTCACATCCTCCCCAACTTAGACAAACGCTCGTCCTCGAGCGAGTCAAGAAACATACCTGATGCCTCAAATAGGTGGGGGTATCTGCTCCACATCTCCCGCTCGGTCTCCAAGGTAGCCTCCTCCACGGGCCGACCTCTCCACTGTACTTTCACCGAAGCAACATCCTTTGACCTCAACTTATGC